ACAGGATTTTGAAAACACCGCTCTTTCCTCCCAATTCCCACCAGTCAGCAAAAGTCAGGGGCCTAATTCTCTCATTTTAAAAAAAGAAAATCTCACTCAAAATCTCAGAACAGCCCTGTGAGTAGCAAATACTCCTTCCTCACAAGCAAAACCTAGGGATATAGAGGGTCCTCCTCAAGGAAAGATGTCCACAGACATCACTGGAATTAAATTTTACTGGGTTCTGGACACACAAAGAACTCCAGATGAGGTTCAAACGGACTCCGAAGCAGCTAGTTAAACTCAGCTATTAAGCAACAACCAAATATACTGTAGAATACGCTTCTCACCATTCATCTTCTCACTCTGTTTTAAACCCCATTTAAATTCCTATGTGAGAACATACAGTGGCCCACACACATTGGCTAGGCCACTCAAACAAATATAATCAGCGCTAACAATCTGGCAAAGCTGGGCTTTGACAATTACCTTTGCAATAACATCTGCAGTTTCACGGAAATCATGGCACCTTCCCACATTGGACCGGGCCAGAAAGTCTTCTATTAGCCGAACGCCTATGTTGTAACCCCTGTCGATACACCAAAGAGCAACAAGCTACAGATTCAGAACTATGTAGCTTTAGAAAAACAGGCAACATTTATGCAAGAAGATATTGGGGAAAAATAATAATTCTGGGAAATATCAACTCAGTCTAAAGTCTGGGAAATAAAACTCAGTCTGCAAGTTCTCAGAGTAGCTAAAAGGCAGCAGAACAGATAGATGTGCCTACTGTGAACTTGAGTTCCTACAGGGCTGCACTGCAGCAGATCTACTCACATTTTGTCAAGCTGCTTGTTGACGTCCTCGTCATTCTCGTAGTCCTTGCACAGCTGCGTGACCAGAGCTCCGTACGTCAGCGTGAAGAGCTCTGAGTTCTAGACAGAGGCAAAAGCAGTTTAGCACAAGCCAAAAAGAAAACTGACTGAGCGCTCCTGTGTCTGTGTCCAGCGCTGCTTCAGCTGGCCTGAAAAGGGGGAACAGAAACCTGGTGCCTCAAAGGAATTTGCTGCTTAATAAGCAGAGATCCCAGTTCATATTTTGGCAAGGCAACTTCAATCTCGTTTCAAAGAGATCGCCTCCTTTGATTAGGAACAACCGAGCACTTTCGTGCCCTCCCTCTCCCCATACACACAGCACTTCCCGTTGACATCTACCAAATCTGACCTGAAGAGGCCAGCTAGAAGGCTGTTCACACTCTGCAGCCATTCTTAGCTCCTCTAGTGAGCTGCCAATTAGTGTCTCTCTGCCATAATCAGCACTTCCCAAGAGAACTGGAATGACACCTCCAAGTCATTTCACGTATGCTATTGAATAATTCCTGGATGGCAAAAACTTGCAGTTGCCAGGGGCCTGAATTTATTTCAACCAATGACCTAGAGATGAAAGGGCCTATGGCTCAAACCGCTTTCTGTAGCCTGTGTTTCATAAATGCACTGCAAATGGGTAACATGTGTTAAGTTCTATTTATGGTTCCTTTCAACAGGACAAAAAAATGCTCTTCCATTCACAGAGTTATTACATTTTACTACCATGAAAAACTAATACTAATCTGATCCTTAGAAAGTTATCCAGCCACACAATTTACCACAATAAGCTAACATCAGCTCATCAGACCTAGAACAGGAACAGCAAGGACTGCTTCAGGTCAGGACTGAGTACACCGGCACATTTGTACTGTATACACTCACTTTCTGTGCCTGGCTAGGATCAAAAGTACTTGCCCTTCCTTTACACGGTTGCTAGATTTGCAGAGGATACGAGAGAACCTGCCTCTTCTCACAGCCACTACCACAACATTTCCTGAATCTGAAGCAAGCATGTCTCATTTGACTCTTCTTGGAAGCCCTTAAATCAGACCAGTGCTTAGATGGTCATTAACACGCTGCAAAACAAAAAGCTATAATAGTTTTTAGCTTTTCATAGCACCTGAAGTAAGTGTGTTCGGGGGCAAGTAAGCCATTTCAATGCAGTTTTCATTTCTGCTTTCAGATTTAGCAATTAGAAACATTATAGAAAGTCTAATCTCATATTAAAAGCCTATCACCTACCATGAGATGCATAGATGCAGAAGGTGAAATGAATGGCAAATACCAATACTACAGAATGAAAGCAGCAGGCAGGCAGAAAGGAAGGGAAAAGAGACAACATCAGAGTTAAGTGACAACACTAATCACACTTCATTCTGAACAAGTTTACACAAAGCCAAGACAAACACAAGAAGGAATCACTCTCAAACTGCAACATTCAACAAATAGGAATTAGGTTTGTTAGAAGACACAGGGAATTCCATCTTGTCATTGTAATTCATGAGGTCAACAGTGATTAGCTACCAAGAGACTTTAGGCATATGAAAAGAACCAGCCAGGCTCCTGGCTACTTTTGCTTAATTTCAGATCTAAAGAATTGACATATATTCTTTATGTCTAGTACTTACAATTCTACTTTCATCTTGAAAAGATAAAGGTTGTTTACATTTGCATTACCCAAGAATGACAAGGTGGAAGTCTCCTTTAACTCAACTAGCAGAGTCAGACGTTTGGCAGAGAATTTAACAGACATGCAAAAAAGGTTATGCTGTTTTTAAGGATTTAAGCAGTTTTCGTCAAGATAGTGCTTGGCAGCTGGAGAGAGTAGAAGGTGAATGGATGGAGAAAATCCAGCCGTTACCAGTCCAAGATGTTGTCCCTTCCTCTATCAAGCCACGAAGCTTTCACCTACTGTTAGGTGACAATTAGGTGACACCTACTGTATGCAGGAAATCCCACAGTGATCATAGTTATTGCCTGCAAGCTGCTGTTTAGGTAACTTTGAATTGTTATGACAAACAAAAGTTCAAAATTCATGTTTGTAAATCACAGCTTTGTTTTCAGTGAGCCTAATGGAACTGAAGTGCCTAAAGCCTTTCCATTAGTTATATTTTTTACATTGCAGCTCACTGTATAGTCTCAGCACCGCGTTGTCACGCTGTGGCCATAAAAATGCCGGAAAGCTAATTAAATAACACCAAGTCCTTAAACAAAAACCATTGTCCACACTAAAAGAGGATCACTTTGTGGTGAGGGGGGAAGGCAATAGTGGGTTGCTGTCCAGCTGCCGGTGAGCCTGAACTAGCAAGTCAGCACCTGAATGCACTGTCACGTCCTAGCAGTTGCCATGGACACCTTTATGTAGAAATGGCCAAAGAGGGAGGAAAAAAACCATTTCATTTTCAGTTCATGATTTCAGTATTGACATTGCATCCAAATTGAGCTGATTTCATTTCTCCTGACCTAGAACTAGACCTGCGTTCTTTAGTTTTGCTCTTTGTCGCTTGCACGCTTCTCAGCGCAGCTGGACTGATAACATGGAATCAGGTTAAGAGATATCAAAACACAGAGATGCAAGAAAAGCTCGTGCTTTGTGACTGTGAAGTTAGTATGTCGTGCTTCCGTAAACAGAAGCATTCAGAAGCCGGCTTTCCAGCTCGCTGCAACTGCCTGCCTCGCCATGCGTGGGGCGGGCGCGCACCGCAGACCCTGGGTATTTAAGGCAAGCCCACCCAAAGGCTGCAGCATCTCCCTGAGTTGATGTGGCAGCCGTCGCACAGCACCGCTCCCGCACCGCTGGCACAAGGGCCGCGGACGGGAAAGGGAGGCAGGGCGGGAGGAAGGCGCTGGAGGCGCGGCCTGGGAGGGGACAGGGCAGGGGCCGCCCGGCGGGTCCCGGGCACGGAGGGACGTTAACCGAG